AGCTGCTTCCTGTCTTAATTTGGTTGTCTTGTGTGTTTTGTGCTCTGTATCTAGTTTAAATTCCCTGCCTCGTTATCCCTGATTTGTTCCGATTGTGTCTCCCAACTGTTTTCTAAGTCTACTCTTGCCCCTTTGTCGTGCTGTCACACAGTGCTGTGTGCTTCGCTGCTCTGTGTTGGCTGTCATAACCATCTGTAGGTTCACATTCTCCAAGAGGTGAGAAGACAATTTTTGGGATGTGTGGACCAACTTTCAGGTATTTTTTGCAGCAGAGCAGCATGGACAACAGGAAATTTAAAGTTTGCATGAATTTAATCAAGGATCTCGTTGGCTTGTTTGCTGACTTAAAGCCTCTGTGGACAACAGTGTAGGCAGCGGATAAGGCCGAGTCTCTCTGTCCTGTCCTGTTTATGAGTGCAAACATCTATAAAAGTAAAACTGTACATCATCAGTGGTTTAACAATCGCATCTTACAGGCGCTCCTGGTTGCCCTTTATTTCCAGATTCTCCTTTGGCGCCACAGCCACCTCTGCTCCCTCTGGGTCCTCTCCTACCCGGTGCACCCCTGTCTCCCTTTAAATATCAGAGTTGCTTTAGCCTCAAGAAGAAACATCTTGAGACATGCAGGTCATTTTATGAGGTAAAAAGAAAGCTGTTACAGGCGGTCCCCTTGATCCAGGATAGCTGAAACCTTGCCTTCCTCTGTCACCCTTTAGAAGAAAAACAACGTGGATGAGAGTAAATTATTTACTGATAATCATGAACAGAAATGCTCAGACTTTCTTTTTACCTTTGGTCCAAGTGGCCCAGTGTCTCCCCTTGGTCCTGAATCTCCAGGATCTCCCGTCGTGCCCTGCAGCCACAGAAGATAAAATTCAAATAAAAAAAGAATCTACTTGAAAAAGCAGAAAATGATGACGATGATGATAAAGTTATAAAGCAACAAACATTTCGTCCAGGGGCGCCTAGTTCTCCTGGCTGACCCCTCGGTCCCGGTAGTCCCAGGTCCCCCTGTCAGAGAGAGAAAATAACAGACAACCCTTTTTACTGGACTCGACCTTGACTCCAGCCCACACAGGCACATGCAGGATGAGTTTCACTGATGTGGATTTGGCAGTTTCAAGCTAATCATTTCAAATTACTGTATAGTTTCTGATATTTTCATCTGGAAAATAAGTGTTTTTATGATGAAGGCATGGCTCCAGTGTTGAATGTCTAATGAAGGCATGCCAGGTTCTTGGGAAGCCTCTGAGTCATTGCTCATCAAGAATCCACCCACAGCGTGATCTCCTCACCTTAGCGCCCTTGAGTCCATTTTCCCCAGGCCGACCTCTGCTTCCCTCCGGGCCTCGTTCTCCCTCACAAAATAAATGAATGTGTCAGAATTCATACCAAACCATTAATTACTTCCCAATATATACAAGACAACAGTAACAGGGAGGTAATAATTCTGCCTCAGGGAAATGTCTGAGGAATTTTTCTGAGATGACCCACTGAAAGACAGAACTGTGTTATACTAGTTGGGATTTCACTATTTCAGTTCCTCAGAATTAAAAACCACAAGCACACTTCAGACTTTCTTCCTCAAAGTTCTTTCTTAATTCATCTTTCTTAAAAGGTCACAGGAAGCCAGTGTTTCACAGTATTTCAAACCAGCAGCTAAAATGGTGCAATTTTGCTTAAAATAAGCGGAAAATGAAATGCCATTCATACAATAAGACAATTCATTAAAAAAAACAATGACAAAAGCTTACCTTTTTCCCTTTTGGCCCAGTGTTTCCTTGTGATCCCTTTATTCCCGGGTTTCCTCTCCTCCCCTGTGAATATTTATTTAGTAAATTTCTTTTAACTATTTTCCAAATGGGGATTTTTTTTTCCAAGTAAAAACACGAGTCAAATACCTCTTCGCCTTTTGCCCCAGGTGAACCCTTTCTCCCCTGCAAGTGTCAACAGTTTAATTTGAGAGTTGATTTTGTACCATCAGTTTAGTGCACATGTAAAAAAATCATAAAATAAAATAAATTCAGGGCTGTACCGGACTCCCTCTTTGTCCAGGCTGTCCTGGATTTCCTTGATTTCCTCTTTCACCCTAAAAAGCAGACATTCAGTTTTAAAGTAAAGAAAATTCTTTGTTGTGCGCTCAGTATTTTTTCCACTTGTTTTTTTAATTTGAAGGTTACCTTCAGACCTGGATTACCCTTAGGGCCTGGGGGGCCTGGCTTTCCAGGAAGGCCTGTGTCACCCTAAACAAATGCAAAAACAATCAAAAAGAAAAGCCACAAAAATACATAACTGGACATAATGTAACATTATTAACTGAGCTTCAGTGAACTCTAAAAAATGGTAAATGGCCTGCATTTGTAGCGCTTTACTAGTCCCTAAGGAAGTGTCTTGCCCAAGGACACGACGACCGAGACTGTCGGAGGCGGGGCTCGAACCGGCAACCTTCCGATTACAAGACGAACTGCCAACTCTTGAGCCACGATCGCCCCATAAAAGAAGTTTATCAGGAAAAAAATGGTCATGTCTGATTGTCTAGTCATTGACTCTGTAGTCGAGTGAGCATGGGCAAAGATACAGTCCCAATCAAAAATCTAAGACTTTAAAAATGCCAAAATATCATATTTTGCATGGTTGGATCTTAACAAGGTTCCAAGTGGAGTTTCAACATGTAACAAAAAGAAATGGGAGCGAGACAGAACATTTTTTGAGCATGCAATTTATTGAAAACAACGCTTAAACTGTTTTACAGCTGATCAAAAATGTATAACTACATGCCATTCAAAGGCCAAATCTGTGCAAAAATGTGGATTCATTGTCATTTTCTGTCAGGTAGTCACACTGTCATGACGTTCTGATGGCAAAAAAAATGTTCCCTTTTTGAATGTGGTCGGAATGTTGGACTGCCAGGGGTGCACATAAGTGGTCCGCAGGTGCACATGCATGGTCAAAATAAAAGACACGCACCAGATAAGAAGTTGCAACGCGCATTTGCGTACATAAGATTTTCTGGAAGAGGACAGACATTTGTTTAGAACTCTTAAAGATGTCGAAGAAGCAAGCTCCTTTAAGAAATTACTTTGGTGCTCCTACATCTCCAAACAAATGTCAGGAGTCCGAACAGCAAAAGAAGCGCGTATTCTCGGAAAAGTGGTTGCAGGAAATGAGCTGACTTCAAACAGCTCACTTATGTGCACCCCTGGAACTGCATAAGCAGGGTCTCTCGCAGCACGCCATCGCTGCTGAGGTGGGGCACAGTAAGACTGTCATTTGGAATTTCTTAAATGACTCCTAGCGTTATGGAACAAAAAAGTCAAAAAGTGGAAGACCCAAAGAAATTTCACCAGCACTGAGCTGGAGGATCCAATTGCCTGCCTGTAAAGACACTGGACAGTCCTTGAACCAAATTAAGGCCGTTACTGGTCCTGACTGGAGCCCCATAAACATCAGAATGTAACTTTGATGGTTCTGATGGTTTCCAAACTTACTGGCATGACAAGCAGATCCAACCTGAGATGTTTTCTACGCACCACAGTGGAGGGGGCGCATTAATGGTCTGGGGTGCTTTTTCCTTCAGTGGAACAATGGAGCTTCAGGAGGTGCAGGGGTGTCAAACGGTTGCTGGCTATGTCCAGATGTTGCAGAGAGCAACATTGTCTGTGTGGTAACAGCTGGGTTTTCCAACAGGACAACGTTAGGGTACACAGTGCCTGCAGGTTACAGTGGTTTTTTTGTTTGTTTGTTTGTTTGTTTTTGAGGTGTGGTCCTAAACTGATCAGGCAGTTTAAACATTGTTTTCAATAAATTGTATGCTCAAATTTTTTTTCGGCTCATCCCCATTTCTTTTTCTTGCATGCTGAAGCTCTACTTGGAACCTTGTTAAGATCCAACCATGCAAAATATGATTTCTTTCTTTTTTGGGTCATTTTTCAAGTGGTCTTAAACTTTTGATCGAGACTGGATGTCTGCACACAGCCCAAATATTTAGTCTGAGCTGTGCTTTGGCTACATTCATGACGCATAATTACAGAAATCATCAGTACCAACAGTTACATCTGCATGAGCTGTACAAGTTGAATGTACTGACAGAATAAACACAAATATGTCAGGAAAAAAAATGTCGAAAAAATGTCTGCCGAGCTGCTGCAGCCGTCAGCTATGTCAGATGATTTAATTATGAAAAAAAGAGCATTTCCTCTTTGTACTTATGTGCTGTCATTTCACTGCATAACATATGTTATGTTTGCATGGCTGGAAAAGGGAGGGGGTTCCTGTTTATGAATACAGCACGATGAAGGTGCTAACATGTCAGCACACTGTTTGGTGGCACATGTTAGGCCACATGTTAACTGCTAGGTCCAGATTAGGAGTTCTGGAATTTGTGACATTTGTTTTAATATTCATGCCGATGCCCAATTTAGAATCACCCATTAACCAAACACGCATGTCTCTGGATTGTTCTTGTTGTGAGGTGAAAGCGCTAACCACTACACCACGTGCCACGCAATACAGACAAGTATTTTTAAGATCAATTTAAAAAAAGACAAAAACCTAATTATAGCTTTTAAAAAAAATCCTTTAAGAATCCTTTCCGTTGTGACAGGCATATTTTAAAATGCACCCATAAATCAATGCACATCTTAGTCTCACAGAAGTGCCTTAACTAATGAGAGCTGTTAAACTCTAATTCACTGGCTGAAGCTGCTCTCACGTTCCCTCATTCGTCTTGAACACGACAGTGTTTTTGGTGGAGGGCTTTTCTGTTTATACTTCAATTAACGGTCAGACAGCCCACATAAGCCTAATCTATCATTTTTGAGGCAAACGTGTTGCCACAGAAAGGTAATACATAATATCATAATCTAAAGCTCTTATTAGCACAACAGCAAGAGGCTGCACTAACAAGCAAATTCAACATACCATGGATATCTTTCAGTCATTAATCTGGCTAAGCAGTCACACAAAGTCCTTATCAACAGGATAAGTTCAGTCAGGTTTTTCCAATCTAGCTGTGGGCATGTTCCCATGAAAGTGGTGGTGTTGATAGGTCTGCTAGGAGCAGAGGAGTACTTTTTCAAAGGAAGACAAAATCTTATAATAAAAGATATGAAAAGGTTAAACACGCAAAACAGGCAAAAAGAAATGCAGCTGCTGCTGGGCAAAATTTTGCAGTATGAGCGTAACAGGAAACATTGGCACATCTACAGAGCAGCAGTGGGTGTGTGTGTGTGTGTGTGTGTATGTGGGGCAACAAATTTAATATGACATGATAAAGGAGACTCTCTCTTTCCTTCACAAAACCTTTGTCAACCTCAAGGTAAAGCAGTTATTAAAAGGAGTTTGGGGGTTATATTATCTATCTGACTACAGTCCAGACCTGCAGAAGATAAAGGAGACGTGTGGTGATTTAGAGATCTCCAAACAGCTGGTCTTTAAATATTTTTCTCTGACCTTTCTTGGTGCTTGTACCTTTTGGCAATCAGAGCACATTTTGACTGTTTAATAAACAGTCCATAATGTTATGAATCACGGTATCTGTGAATCATCTATGAATGTGTTGCTGTAGCACCAGCACCACATAGGCAGAAAAGTGGTCTTGAAGTAAAGATTGACCCTCACACAGACCAAAAGAAAATACATATTAAACCTTGCCCAACTAAAAATAATAGTAGTTGGTTCACTTGACAGAACTTACTGTTTTAACCCAACAGGCCAGCCTGTGCAGGCATTTAGCAGATCACATCGTTCAGCTGTTCTGACACCTGTTAAAGCTAAAGAAATATTTGAAATGGTTCTTTAAGGCTCTGCTGTGCCACCTTTAAGAAGCACACTGAAAATTTCACGCTATTTTCTAGTGACAGTACTTTCCTTTCATATATTTGACTTGTTGAAATTAAATGTCCGTGCCACAGGTGGCATGGTGGTTAGCACTTTTGGCGCATAGCAAGAAGGTCCTGAGTTCAATTCAGTTCGGCTAAGTTCAATTGTGATCTGCTAGGATTAAACACCAAATGCCTGCACAAGCTGGCATGTCGGGTTAAAACAGTAAGTTCTGTTAAGTGAACCAACTACTAGTATTTTAGATAGACAAGGTTTAATATGTATTTTCGTTTGGTCTTTGTGAGGGTCAATCTTTACTACAAGACCACTTTTCTGAAAAGGTTGGGCTTGTTATTATCAGGTGAATGTGATAACCACTACAGTACGGAAATGACTTCACTAGAATCCATCTAATTACTGTGAATACTTCACTCTAGACTCAAGTGCTGAAATTACCAACTGACCACATACCAAAATGCAATCGTGTGAATATATTTTTTTGTTCACTCTAAATAACACTCTGTCTCTTTCAGTATGAACCGAAATGATTAGATTATTGTGATTTAATTCAGACCTTTTCTCCTTTGTCACCTAATAGTCCAGTTTCACCAGCATCTCCTGGGTAGCCATCTGGTCCCTATTAGAGACAAATAAAAAGTGTCTCAGTGGTTCATTTAACCAGAAATGCTAACAATACAAAAAAAGTCAATGTTAAAGAGAATCAGTGAAATACATGAAGCTGTATGGCTGATATAAGTTGTTAAAATGAAACAAAGACATACAAATAAATATTAAATGCTCGACTTACCTTGTCGCCTGGATCACCTTTACAACCGGGAGCTCCAATTCGTCCAATTTTCCCCTGAAGATTTCAAAGGAGCATTCATATAATATCAGTATATTTATAATCAGATTACCATTACGGTAAAAATCTCACCGTAAACACTCACCTTTTGCCCATCAGTTCCATTCTTGCCAGTCAAACCTGCAACACCCTTTAGCGAAGAGATAAAATGAACTTCAGTGCATAAACGCTCTTAATTTTGGATGTTGCGGTGCACGAAGATGAAGCATTAAACTGTTTTTTTTTTGTTTTTTTTACCTTTGCTCCAGTTAATCCAATTTCCCCCTGTTGAGATAAAACAGACCCATTAGTCCCCCAAAACACTTCCTTCAGTTTAATAAATGAACAGAAATGAGAAATATAAGGATTTTAACTCTTACCTTGTCACCCTTTAAACCAGCCTCTCCCTACGGAAAAGCACAAAAGGACACATTAATGAGATTAAAAATACATCGTGTAATTTTAATTAAATCAGTTAAATAATTTAATTAATTTTAATGAAATAAAATCATCAACGAGTTGGGCTCAGCAAACCTTTGGACCAGGTCGTCCAATTGGACCTTCAATGCCAGGATCACCCTGAAATGTAACAAATATATAACTCAGTAAATAACAATGCACTTTTAAAAATATATTTAGGTTTCTAGACGTAAATTCTAGGTACCTGTCTTCCTCTTTCACCCTTTGGCCCTAGAGGGCCTCTGTCTCCTTTTGTGCCCTATAAAGATCCAGAGACATACGCATTTCAAAAGATGAATCATCGGCACGAGCAATAATAAAAATTATTGACTTTAATTCAGTTTTTAAGTCTCACTTTTGGACCTGAGGGACCTCTTAGTCCAGGGCGCCCAGGACTCTCGAAACATCTTGGTTTGTAACACTGTGAGATGGAAGAGAAAAACCAAACAATATTAAAAGACTGAAGCCTTTTAAATACCAGAATTGTTTAAAGGAAGCTATTCTGCTAATTTCCAACTTCGTTGTTTCAGTCTTGGACTTATAGCAGCTTTGCATGAGTGACTGAAACAAGCCTTTTTAGCTCCTTCCCCCTTCCCTTTGTGGCAGCTTTGTTCTGATTGGTTGTCTTTGGTAAAGAGAGTATTTGAAAGGCAAGTGGGCGGGGAGAACATATCCTCTCTTTGACTTCACAAACAGCCAACAGTACAAAAAATTTGTGAAACTGACAGGGTTGGATCCTGAGCTTGTGGCTAATAGGGATTACTTGCACATACACTCATTATGTGGAACTTAACATAATGAATAACCTTCTTACCTGTAAATATGCTTGGTATTTCTGCAAAAAAAAGAGAGAAAAAAGACAGCAGTCAGTGAGAGTCACCTGACACAACATTTTAAGGCTAAAAGATGTCAGCTCACCATTGCTTTTACGATACGATCAATGGTTTTAGTGCTTAGTCTTGGTTTCCCATCAACGATTTCCACCGCTATGTAGTCGTCACGGAACAGCTCATACGGAGAGTTCGCTATCTCCCTCATTCCAAATTCATCGATCTCCTTGGACGCTGCTACTGAGAAAATCTGGATCCCTTGATCCCGGGCCTTTTCCGCCATCACCTTGATCCCTGAACATGGATTTCCTGTCACGTAGCCATCAGTGATGACCACAGCGAAGAGAACCGCCTTCGTCTCTGTGTAATGTTGGGTCATCTGGTGAGTCATGTTTTTGAGGGCACAGTCGATGTAAGTGCCTTTGCCCAGGTATCGGATCGAAGCGAGATTCCTGATGAAGTTCTCTCTGGTTGTGAGCTGGCTGAAGACCACCTGCTTCTGGGAGAAGTGCAGCCCACCTATGGACCAAGTGATCTGGACATGGCCCCTGTACTCCTCATCAGCCAGCCTCTCGGCAAAGATCTTTGTGAATTCTCTGATACTCTCCACCAGGCTGCCAGGTGGGGGCTCCTGCAATGCGATGGTTTCTGAGGTGTCAATAGTGAAGTACACCCTGATGGGACAGTCGATTATACCTGCTGGAGGAGAAGACAGCTGTTACTTTTAATTAGAAAAATAATTAAATTGTTTTTAGATGCTGAAATGCATCACTTTCATCCTAATTATTTAATACTTGAAACATCATAATAAAAAGCAGCAAATTAATCTGTGTAGTTTGTGTCCTGGGCTGGTTGATTTTGCCAGGTTACACAGATAGAATGAAAATGATGAAAAATGTGAGGACTATAAGACATTTATGCGTTGTGCTGCAGAGATCTAACTACTACTACTACATGCTAAATAGATAGCACAGGCCTCTCAGATTCAAATTTTGCTGACCGGACGTCGTGTTTTCCTTTTTTAAGTCTATAATTGTAAATCGTGGTCTCTGTGCAAAAATGACTGAAGCTATTTTTTGAAAAGGGACATGAGGGGAAATAACTGGTCAATCATCTGGCTTAGTTTTTGTTTGTTTGTGTTTTTTAGCTGAGCACAGCAAACCAAGATTGTTTAAGATTGTGCAGTCTTGCAGAGGAAAACACATGTTCGCTAAAACGTGTAGAAATTAAAGAGCACATAGGAGCCGGAGCCTTTGCTTCAGGTTATAGAACCATCTTAATATAACCACCTTATTAGAACCACCTTAAGTAGCAATAGCTTGAAGTAATGATTTTTGGTATGATTTTATCAGTCTCTCACATCATCGTCAACAAAATTTGGCCACTTATCTTTACAGCATTGCATTTACTGAGGTTTGCAGGCATTTCCTTCTGCACAGCTTGTTTCTACCAGAGCATTTCAATCAGATTAAGGTCTAGACATTAACCGTACCATTGCAACAGCTCCATTCTTTGGTTTTCTCAGCCATTCTGTTGCAAATTTACTGCTGTGCTTCCTTTAGCTGAGCTTTAGCTGCATGCTGTCACACAGGTATCCTCACATTTGACTCTAGATTACTTTGGTATACAGAAGATCCAAATACTTTCACAGCTGAATCAATTAAAGTCAAAAAACAAAAAAAAATTACCATTATTTTAACCCAGAAAGAAATTAAGGGAACCTTCACCTTCACAGCCTTCAGGTCTTGGTGTGGGTTCAGGCAAGAGTGGAGGTACCGTTGGCTCTGGACTGTCACCTCGCCCCGGTATTGGCCTGGGTCCTCGAGGTGTAAGTTGAAGGTTTACAGTTTGGACCAGCAATACAAAGACAAACCCTGAAAGCATTGCCATTTTTTTCTGAAAAGAAAAGAAAAGAAACAAAAAAGAAAAACCCAAACAAGACAAGCAGGGATGAATAAAACTGTTCTTCAGAGATTATTTTTGACTGCAAAGCTGTAACTTAATGCAGGAAATAGCTGTCAAACATGTGAGTGTTCACAGAAGGCGTCTACACAGCGCTTAGGAATGTTTAATGTTGTTTTAAGTCATGTCAGTGAACAACCGCACTGTGTGGAAACAGAAGACAGAAGAATGTTTGAAACTGCATGTTTCATCCCACCTGTTTAATTAAACTGAAATCAGAAGGAGCAGGAAAGATTCTGTGGAACTACCATCCCACGAGAGTTACTGTTTGATAAGAGCTGACAAGATGGTGGTGTGTTATTGCTGGTGATAATTTACAATTTGTTTTCTGGAAGTGGAAAATTCCAACAGCATAAACCAACGTCAGAAATGACAAATGAATAAAACTCAGCTTAAAACTGCTGGTTAGTCCAACTTCAGTCTGCAGGAGGGGCTTCCAGACTATTTCATGTCAGGAATTTCAAATACAAAAAAACAACAAGATAAAAATCCAACCTGTGGGCGGGGGTGCTGATGTTGATGTTGCACAGAGATGGAATGTAACTTATTTGGCTTAATGCTTCCGCTCTATCACATCCCAGAGGGCATGCTGAACAGTTTTATTCTATTAAAGTCATACTGTATTTACACACTACTTCATATAGCTTGCAAGTACTGAGTTAGGCCCTCTTTTACCTTCAGGACTGACTTAATTCTTCACGGCATGGATTCAACAGGGTGGTAAAAACAATCCACACAAGATTTTGCTCCATATTTAACTGATAGCATCACATCCAAATGCTGCAGCAGGAATAAACTCATCAGACCAGGCAATGTTTTTTCCGATCTTCTATCATCCAATTTTGTGCAGGAAAATCCCAGTCAACAGTTTTTTTAAACACTCAGATCCTGTCAACAACAACCATGCCATGCTCCAAGTCAACTCTCTTCTCTGTTACCACACTGCACTTGCACTGAAAGCTGCCCAATGCATTCTGAATGCTCCACTTACTTTATTAACATTTCAATGTCAACATGATCAAAAAAATAAAACAAATAAAAAGTAAATCAGAAACGCGACTCTCTGGTAGAGCAGTCCTGTTTAATTTTATTAGATTATACATTATACAGATTATACCTAACAAAGTGTCCTGTGCCGATGCTTAATTGTATTGTTAAATCCTTTATTTAAACACAGTGTGTGCCTCAAACGTAGCTTGAGGCACACAATGGCAGAAAAGCCACACACAGGCACACAAAAATAAAAATCTATCTACATTTAGAAGTTAAGAAAAAAACATGTGAAGACTGATTTCAGACACAGGCCCAATTATAACCTTTAAAACGTAATTTCATGTTTTATGCAGTTTCTTTTCTTTTCTTTTCAAAATAAACATGCAATATAATATATATATAAGCATTTAATGAAAATTAATTTATGTTGTCATGTTAAGTGGAGTACTACAGAGATGGAACACCTTTTTCTTTTCTGAAAGAAGTAAAAAAAAAGTTTTTGTTTTACACCACAGAGAATCTAAATATATTCTAAAATTCACATTAACTGTAGGGAAAAAAAGAGGTAACCAGAAGATTAATTTATACGGTCTATCAGTCGGTATAGCGTGCAGTACAACCCTTTAAATCTCCGGTAAATTTAAAATAAAATGTAGGCTGCTTACCGAGACGACGGAAAAGAGAAAGTAAACTCCAAGCTGCGATTAGAGACCTACAAGATATTCAAGAAATTTCTACAGATGGTAAACCTGACACACCCGTCTCAGCGGGACTGTTCCCAATAAGAAAACATCAGAGGGGGGACGGAGGGGCAGCTCTGGGTCGTTTGCGAACGAGCGCTAGAGACGCAGGCGTCACTGGAGAAAGAGAGATGTTCAGATGATTGTTTGCTGGCAGCTGGAGATCAGCAAGGTCTCCAGGACAGGTCTGGAGACTTAAGAGGTTTCGAATAAATAGAAAAGGCTGAAATAAGCCATTTATCCACCTGATCAGACGGATTCAATGTCAGAGTCACAGCAGATTCTCTCTAATGGCAGCTTTACAAACACATCAGCTCCCAGTGCTACATATCCTTACATGGAGACAGCTGCTCACACTCACCCCCTCTGTTTATGTTTCAAGGCTATACAGCGTGAGAGATGTCATGCTGGAATTTAAGTGCAGAAACTTTATTCTTTTTTTACCATACTTTCACTTTATCCAGTTATTAGATCAGACTGTTGAAAGGAAAATCAAGTGTTTTCTGCCTCCAGCCTGTCAAAGATGAGGATTGACTGCTTTTCTCACTTTAAAATCAAAGAGACCCTGAATTAAGACAAAGAAAGATGCTGACAATGTGAAAACCGAGCATGCAGTTTACTTTAATTAGCACGTTTTTGTTGTTTGCTTGTTTTTAAAGAAATGTTCCTATTTCCATTTTCTGGGTACATTTTCACGAGGTCTAATTTAAAAAATGTATATATTTAATATATGGAGGCGTGTTTGCATCCACATGTACCTGGTACCTGGTCTTTACCTGTAGTTCAGTGAGAAAGCCAGCATCCACCGGTCCTACTTTGGCAAAACGTCATACCGTAAGTAGTTTATGCACATTTCTGTTGTTACAGAGTAATTCCAACACAAATGTAAGTAGGTATTACGGTTTGCCACTTAACTTTTCCCATCAGAATATGCTTGTAGCTCATATTAATAAAGCCAGGACGGTTTGCCACTTCATTTTACCCGTTAAACTATGCTTGTCGGTCACATTCACAAAGGTAGCATGGTTTGGCACTTTACCCGTCAGAGTATGTTTCTAGCTCATATTCACAAAGGTAGGACGGTTCGCCACTGGATTTCGTGTTGTGCGCATGCGCAGAAACAAGGGTAGGGTGGTTTGTCAGGTAGGATGGATTCCTAGAACACCCTGTCCACTTGGCCACAGTGTGCCCTTCACATGAACGTGGACCCGCTCATCAAACCTTTGCTCCACAGCGCCACCAGTGGTCAAAACAAAGCAGTTTAATTTTTTCGTTACATTTAAGCTCTCACAGGGCATTTTATTAAGTACACAGTACCTAGTACCGGTTTGACCCCCTTTTGCCTTCAGAATTGCTTTAATCCTTTGTGGCATTACAACAAAGGGCATTTTACATCACACAGCTGCACATGCGTGATGTGAATGTCCTGTTCAACCACATACCAAAGATGCTCAATTTGACTGAACTCTGGTGACTCCACATGCCATTTGAGTTACACTGAACTTGTGTTCATGTTCAAGATGACATTTTGAGATGATCTGAGCTTTGTGACATGGACAACAACAGCAAGTACGATGGTGTAAGATAAGGATGGTAAGCAACAATACTCGGGTAGACTGTGGCATTTAAATGATGCTCAGTTTGAACTTCAGCAGGTCGTCTTCACCATGTCTAAATGAACTGAGTCGCTGTCATGTGACTGAAATGATCAGGCCAATAAAGTGGCAGACGAGCAGATATTTTCATTATTATTTTCCAGTTTTAATAATAATTTGCAGGTGTGCTAGCATCAGCAAAAGTATATGTCACAGTCAGTGGATAAAGACAAAGTTTTCCTATTTGCTGTATAAGGTCACATAATCTGTGAGATGACAAAACAAACACTGGAGTCTGCAGGACTATTTGAACCGTGACTTTATACCATGAAAACTTGGCCCACTGGAGGTAAAATCAGTCATGCACACACCATTTAAGTGGATAAAAACGACTGAGTGGGCTCAGTGTCTCTTAAAAGTCAAGCCTAATGCAGTGTCTTAAATATGCATTCCTCACAATGGCCAGCAGGGGGATACTTTGCTTGCACAATGAAATCAAATTGTACAGAAACCTTTGGGAAAATGACCTTACTGCTCACTTATACTATAACCTCAGTAATCAGTTTTAAAATTGGATCATGGTTTCATTGCATTAAATAAATATTTCATATTTGTGGTCAACCATGTTGGATACTGTAGAGACAAACATTTGGTATTCTTAAGAGGAGTGGCTACCCCGTGATTGACAAGTCTCAACACATGAGCCTGCAGTCTCAGTTTCTCAGTATGAGCAGAGATCTTCTAACATAATCAAGAACTCTCAGCTGATCTTCTTTAAACAACAGTCCATAAAGATTTGGGAACTGAGGAGACCAGCTGTTGGACCTTTGGGAGAGGAATATTGTCCCATTCTTGTCTGATATCGGATTCTAGTTACTCAGCTTGTCAGCCTTTTGTTTCCCCCCTTCCCAACTTTTTGGAGATGTGCTGGTATAAAATTCAAAATGAGCTAGTATTTTTCATTAAATGATAAACACCTTAGTTTAAGTACTTGATATATGTTCTGCATTTTACTGTGAATACAATTTGGGTTTATAAGATGTGAAAATCACTGCATTCTTTATTGTCAAATGCACATTGTACACAGTGTCCCGACTTTGTTGAAACTGAGGTTACACATCTGGGATGAAAATCTCCATAAAAAAAACACGTGTACTTATCCAACAGTCCATTAAAAACCACATTTAGAT